TGGTGCATTTTGGCAGAAAGGTGCCATAAATGAAACTTAAATACATAACGGTGCATTTTGGCAGAAAGGTGCCACTCCTAGTTTAACTGAGAAGGTTTTAAATGATTCTCATGAAGTATACGAAATATTTTGGACTATGATAGTCATGATATGCTTATGTATGAATTGTAGTTCATTTAAAGTATTATGCCTCACTAAGTAAATACTTAACGTGTGTTGATTTCATGCATAGGTAAAAGCAAAGACTAGCCGAGTAAAGAGTGTAACAACATCTATCATCAATCTAAGGTTGACTAGTCAGTAACAGTATGACAATCATGTTTATTTTGAAAAGTAGCTGGCATGTAATTGAATTCAAGAAAAATTCTCTAGAATGTAATTAAAGTGATAATTTTTGGTAATATGGTACAAAGAATGTTTTATTTTTATATTAAATGTTTTGTTTTGTTTTCAAAACAAAATTTTATGAGTTTTACAAATAATTAAATGTTTCTAAAAGTCATGTGACATCTATGACTTGTGTAAGGAAACATATATAGGAAATGGGTGTTACATTTATTGGTATCAGAACTACAGTTTTAGCCAATTCTCGGTCGAAATAGGTTTTATTTGAAATTAGAAAAAGGGATTACATGTCATTAAGATTATCAAGGTTACTGATATGGTGTCATTAGAGTGTGATTGATGATACTCCTTACTAACTGTAGTGTTATTATTATGTATGTCCTAATAGATGTAAAATCTTCGAATTCGCGAAGAGTGAGGGAACAAGAAATTAAAGAAGGAACTGGTAGCGAAAGTTACAAGGCTAATAGTGAACAGTTGATTCCATCTAAAAATGCTAGTGCACCTGTACATCAGGGGATGTCGATGCCTGAGTTTGGAGCTTTTATGCAAGCTCTCAACACCATATTGACCTGATTTCAACCTCCTCCACCTCACCCTACTCCTCCAGCCCCGAGGATGTTGATCCCAAAAGAGCTTAAGAGTTTGGGAGCTCCAGAGTTTCGGGGAGAAGAGGATGAGGGTCATTTGGAGGCTGACTTATGGCTAAATGATGTTATAATAATGCTTGAAAGTCTTCACTGCTCAGATTCTGAAAAGTTGAGTGGAGTTGTATATTTACTTCGGGGATCAGCTGGAGTATGGTGGTTAAATACTACGATGTATTCACCATTGGAACAAGTGACCTGACAGTTCTTCCTGGAGGAATTTAAGAACAAGTATGTTGGTGAGCAATTTAGACGAGTAATGATGCCGATAACTCTGTAAAAAGTCTCAATTTCTAGTCTTTTCAATTAAGTTATTGCTCGTCTAAACAAAGTATGCACATCAGTTTAGTTGCATTTAGGTTATATTTGCTTGTGGTGGATAAGTTTTGCTACGACAAGATTTATTTTGTTTAATTGATACTGTAGAGGAGAAAGGGTTTGTGTGGATTGTGTATGTGCACAAAACTTAGAGAGGAAGAACATTGCAGTCGTGACAACGTAAATTGCAAGGGCCAATGGAAAAGAGAAGAACGTGATGAACATATTTTTCTCGCCAGGGCAAGGTTTATCTGTAAAGTCTGAAGTGGATATGACGAAATTGCCTATGTCACATGCCAACTGGATGACCTCCTCCACCTGAAAGCAAGCCCTAAAGATTCTGACAGCCGCCATCCACCTTTCCTTTTTTAGTCTAGACGAATAATAACGGTTATCTCCAATCATGCGAAACCCTAGTAGATTCCTCTCTATAAATATTTAATTGTAGCTGCCAAAGAGGGGAGGCAAGGAAGAAGAGAAAAGAGCTTTACTGAAGGTATGAGCGAGCAACTGTAGTGCTTTCCCACCGTTTACCAACCGACCTTCCTTGGTGTCCTCCATAGCTAGACTGTAGCAGAGAGGTGGTCAGGTCTCGAGAGAGGCTAATCACCAAGGCAGGCGCGGTGGTGATAAGAATTGTCACAACAAAGCCTCCAGTTTTGGGAGTCGTTCTTCCTTAGTTCTTGAATTCTTTACATGTTTAGGGTTGTATTAAACGATGACACTTGGATGACTTTTTTATAGCACCTTGAATGTCTTACTTGGTGTTAATCTTTGTTTTGCCTAGATAATTATTTAATTCTTTGTGAATGATGAATTATGATTTTGTTGATGGCTGTTTTGTTCATTGTTTGAATATTTTACCTTGACACTTTAAGAGCATCGAGAGATTGCCTGGGGTTTTGGTAAACATGTCTTGGCAATGTAAGAGAATTGAGAGATCGCCTTTTGTCTAGATAGTGATTCTTGGATTCGAGAGAATTAAGATAGATCTATGTGAACAATGGAATGGATCCAGGATGGTGATGTTCTAACTTGTCTAGCTTAGAGATAGGGAGCGGGTTTCAATAGACTAAAAGGGATAGACGCTAGAGTAGGATATACAACGACTATAGTTCACACTGAGAGGTATTACTATAATAACAGTCTGACAAACCAAGGGTTGTATTTAACGCTGAGTAGTATTTCCATAACAACTGTCTAAGAATACTTGGTAATTGTGTTAGGCAGCTTAAGTAAGTCATAATAATTCATTCTAGACTTAGAATAATTGTTGTCAATGCAAAAGATTAGCATAAGTGCTCTGTGGTAAGTCTGAACATGTGAGGTTGTTTGAATTATACTTAAATCAACATTTGTTTTTGTTTTGTTTTGTTTTATAGTCTGCATATTTATTATGTCTCTACCAAACTTTTTTGTAATCATACATTATAGTATTTTCTTGTTTTCTTAATATTAGTTTAGATTGACAAGATAATAGGACTTAGCTTGTGATAAATAGTTCTAGTTGTGGTGAAGGTTAAAATCGTAGACCAATCCCTGAGGAGACAATAACTCACTTACCATATATTACTTGATTCGATTGTGTATACTTGCACAGAATTGCTTTCCTTAGCATATACAAGCGATCATGTTTTGGCGCCGTTTCCGAGGATTGGCAACTGATGAAATTTTTATTCACCATAACAAGTTTTTCTTGTCATCTTATATTTATCTAGTCTAACGTAGTTTATTATTTTCTTTTGTACGTTTTTATTGCATGACCCTGAGATCTGCTGGTAAACTATTGGAATCATTCGACCCTGAAGTTGAATAATCATTCAGACAGAGGCTACGTGACCAACAAACCAGAGACCATTTAAGCCAACTACAATTACAAGGCAACAATATTGGAGATCACGACGATCCAGATGCAATAATTAATCTTCAAGTTGCAAGACCAAGAGTGATACGAGATCATTTGAACCCAATTCTTAATGATCTCAATCCAGACATTGTGGCACCTGAAATACAAGCAACTCATTTCAAACTTAAACCAGTGATATTTAATATGTTAAATTTTATTGGCCAATTTGGTGGTTCACCCAATGAGGATGCTAGACAATATATTCGTGTTTTCCTTGAAGTATGCGACCCATTTAGACAACAAGGAGTACATGAAGATGTGCTTAAACTAAAACTTTTCCTTATTCCCTACGCGATAGAGCGAGAGCTTGGCTTAGTGAAGTTCCTTCAGGCTCAATGGAGTCATGGGAAGATTTATGCAAGAGTTTCCTACTTCGATATAATCCGCCCAATATGAATACACAGCTTCGTAATGACATTGCAAGCTTTCGCCAAGGAGATGATGAATCAATGTACGAATGTTGGGATATGTATCAAAGTGTACTTCACAAATGTGTCAACCATGGATTTCATGACTGAACTCAAGTAGTATGTTATATAACGAAGTTAATGCACCTACTCGAATGATGTTATATGCCTCAGCAAATGGCACCTTACTTGAAAAATCACCCGAGAAAGCCTTTGATATCCTCGACAGGATAACAAATAATGATTATCAATTCCCAAATACAAGATTAGGAACCGGTAGAAAAACATCTGGAGCATATGAACTAGAAGGTAAGGATTCGGTAGTTGCTCAGATTTCTGCCATAACTAATATGTTGAAAATTTTGCAATGTCCTAATGAGGTAAGAGAAGTCAAGGTGACCAATAATGCATGCATATTTGTCACGGCAACCATCATGAGAGTGAATGTCCAAAAAACCATGACACTAGCAGAAAAAACCCCTTTAATGACGCGCATTGCGCGTCATCTATGGGTGCGGATGACACACATTTGCCTGTCGTTGAAGCCACTGACATGAATTTAAGATGACGCGCAATTGTGCATCATAAATGAAGACGACACACATTCGTGTGTTATAAATTTATGACGCACATTTATGACGCTCATTGCGCATCATTGAAGCCCCCGTCATAAATGAAGACGACACACATTCGTTTGTCATAAATTTATGACACGCATGTATGACTTACATTGCGTGTCATTGAAGCACACGTCATTAAAAAAGATGACACACATTCGTGTGGTGTGATTGTATTTCGTAAATTATTGTATATATATATATATATATTGTAGATTGAAAAATAATCAAACTAAATCACATTTAATGCCTCATAATACTAAATATATATATCATATTATATATAAACAATCCATTTGCATACAATATATTCACATTAAGTTACAAACATAATATCCATCACATATGGCTATTTGAAAACAAAACAAGAATGTTATCAGATTATCACATGTAGCAATTAGAGGGAATACAACATTTCCAGCACCAAAACCAACCTGATTACCAAGGTCACATTAGTTCTATAATATATAGAAACCTTACATGAGAATATAAGAACCTTAGATAAGAAGGGGAACTATTTAACACACACTATAAGGAACAATAAAGTCAAGTTCATATAGGTAGCATATATGTTTTCGCCATGACATCAAGTGCAAACACGCTTAGGAACAAGAACTTTAAGATTTATTGTTTTGCAAGTATGGGTTCAAATTTGATATTTTAATTATTTTGATCAAATCGAAGCACCACAAGGCAACAAGATGATTAAGTACCTGCTGTAAATCAAGAAGCATCTTCTCCAAATCTCACACAACATCATGGCGCTCTTGAATTTCAAACATGGTGATCATTATCTACAAACGAACCAAAAATTAATTTACCATAACCAATTTCTTCTAGTCATAGACAATCCCTGTTTGAGATGGTATTAGAAGAGATTACCGAAACCAAGCAGTCAAATAAAAGTTCAATTTAAAAAGCTCTACAATATATATATATATATATATATATATATATATATATATATATATATATATATATATATATATATATATATATATATATATCCGGCTATTCCAATAAAGTCTACAAAACAAAAGGAAGGGTGTAGGGATGAAAGACAAGTATTATCTACTATTAGTATAAAGGAAGAAATAAAGAAAATTATGTCAAACCTGGCCCCGTCCCTGCTCCTGAATTAGTTTCTCGAATATTTGTTCGCTATCTCCAGTTGCAATCAATCTTTCAATTGTCTTTACAATGTTCAACAATCAGACATAGGATAAATAGGACATAAAGTAACTGATAACATAGCAAGGGAAGTATACCTCTTCATCTGGTCTTGTGCCCGTCACTGGGAATCATAATAACCGGTGCAAATTAATATTAGCTATCATGCACTATTATAGCAACTAATAGTATCAGATGAACATCTTAACCTGTGAAAATACGTCGCTCAACAACCTCCTGATACTCTTTCTGGATTCTCTCCTTAAGAATATGCAATGGCAGGTGCATAAACCCTAGTAAGATTAAGAAAATGAGAGTAAAATACATCTTAAAATATCTAAATCTGACCAACCTGAAACTCATCTAGTTTGTCTTTTAACTTCTTTTTCACGGCACTGCAGCAAAAATATGGAACACAAATTCAAGTCAGGGGTCGAGTACAAATTATTTACCGAGGGACACAAATTCACATAGTCTGAAGCCGAAAGGAAAAAAACAATTACGACCCTCGAATAAGGAACAAAGAAACTTTTCGAGTGGGTACAAGTAATGAGGCAATGGACATTGAAATGCAAGGTTCCGAGGATGGTACAAATCAGAAAGAGACAATTACTATCAATAACATGAAAAATAGCACGCCTCAAGAGCATGTAACGAACACTGGGGAGATACATCACATGACTGAACAAATGGAAATAGGAATGAAAAATACCAATAATATTTTGAATGCTCACGAGAGTAACGATCCTGGTCCTCAGGAGACACCAATAATGAAATGATACAATGAAAGCGATCACTTGGAACTGTAGAAGAGTGAGAAATTGTGAATTTGTCAACAATTGTAGAGATCTTACAAGAAATGAAAGACCCAACGTCATAAGTCTCTTATAGACGAAAGCTACCGTAAGGGCTGGTGAAATGTTAAAGAAATTAAACTTTGATGAGAACTTTGAAGTCTCTGCTCAAGGTATGCGTGGATGTATCGTCATGTTATGGAGCTCGAATGAAATAAAAGTCAGAATTTGTCAAAATACTGATCAATTTGTGCACTGCGAAGTTCAAGAAGATGATAAAAGTTGAGTAACTACTTTTGCCTATGTTCAACCTCACACAAATAAAAACATGTCATGGATTATGATGGGAGACTTCAACGACATTGCGTCCATAGAGGAAAGAGAATATCTAATACATATTACATTGATCGCATAATTCAGTTTAGAGAAAGGTGGAACAGATGGATGCAGGCTGGATAGGCGCTAAATCCACTTAGATTAGACATATCCAGGGGCAATTGACTCTTCAAGAGAGACTAGACAGAACACTCCACAATGCTGAAATTTTGGATATTTTTTCGAACATTCATATGGTTAATCTTCCAAGACTCTATTCGGACCACAATCCAATCATGGTAAATACTACTTTAAACGTACAAATAGAAAAAGAGCTAAGGAATTGGAAGGTCTCAGCTTTTGAAAATATTTTTAGACAGAAACGTCAGTTGTAAAATATATTAAAAGGTATCCAAAGAGTCCTAGATTACATTAACTCCAAGTGTTTACAAGATCTCATGAATCATTTAAATGAAGAGTACCAAAAAAACTCAACCAGGAAGAGATACTTTGGCTCCAGAAATGAAATATCTAAATCTCAAAATCAACAACCATTGAAGAAGAAAAAAATCAAATAGAGAAAATAAATAGAGGTAACCTTCTACGAGCACGAGCAGGAAAGAGCTTGACGAGTTCATCAGTGGACATATCCAAGAGATCATCGAGATCAACACCTCTAAAATTGAACTTCTTGAACGTTCTCTTCTTCGGTACCCCTGGTGCGGCGTGAACTTTGTTATTGAGGGGAAGAAGCAGGAAAGGGTGAAAATAATGGGGGGAAAAATTAAAATACGACTTTTACAGATGACACACAATTAAAAGTGTACTCCATGTTTTTGCAATTTTTTTGGATTATGACTATTAAATATGACACATTATTGTAAGTCATAAATCGTTCAGATTTTAAAAAACATTACATTTTTTATGACACACCTATTTTACAAGTCATAAATTAGCGTGTGTCATCGTTCGTGTGTCATTAAAGGTATATTTTCTTGTAGTGTGAGTCAACCAATTTTGTGGACAATTATAAATGGAGAAATAATAACCCCTATTTAAACACATACAATCCTGGTTGGAGACAACATCCAAACTTTTCATAGAGTAATCAAGGGAACAATAACAATCAAGCAGCTAGTTACAACAGGCCACAACAAAGTAACGTAGACCATCAACATTTTCAGAATCAGCATCATCAGTTGCCCTGGCAAAACAACAAAGGTACAACTTCTTCCTCTAATACTAATTCCAATACTAACTCCTTGGAGTTGTCATTGCAGGAATTTATGGACTCAACAAAAGATTTCATGGCCTCAACAAAGACCTTGATGCACAAGCATTCTATAGAAATTTAAAACCAAGTAAATTTGTTACAAATCCAAGCTACACATTTGCAAATCCATAGTTCATCTCTAAGAGTATTGGAGAATCAAGTGGGCCAAATTGTTACGGCATTACATTCTCGCCCACAAGAAAATCTCCCTAGTGATACTGAGATCACTAAACATCACAGAAAGGACCAATGCAGTGTACTTACACTAAGGAGTGGAACACAGGTCAACCAAAATGAAAAGTTTGGGGGAGAACGCCTAAACATTGCTCGCCATGGCATAACACAACCAGAGGATCGAGTTGAAAATGAGGAACATGATGAATCGTCTGAAGAGAAGGAAAATGATGAAGGCTCAGAAAAGCATCGTCCAGATAATGAGAAATTCATGGCCAAGGCTAGAGATTCCTCAGCACCAACAGCAAATAATGTGAGACCTCCACCACCGTTCCCTCAACGATTGAAGAAACATAACGATGACATCCAGTTCAAGAAATTCGTTGATGTTCTGGACTAGTTGTATATCAATGTGCCCTTGCTTGAAGCCATAGAGCAAATGCCTTCCTATACCATGTTTCTTAAGGACATCATTACAAAAAACAAGAAGGTAGAACATGTCACCACGGCAAAAGAAATATGTTCTGCAGTAAGAAAACTCCCACCAAAACAAAAAGACACTGGCATTTTTATAATACCATGTTCAATTGGTAATAACTTTGTAGGACAAGCTCTTGTTGACTTGGGATCAATTGTAAACTTGATACCAAAGTCCATATTTATGAAACTAGAAGAGTATCAAGCTTTTCCAACCACAGTTATCCTACAGCTAGCCGATCGGTCTTATGTGTGGCCCGAGGGCAGAGTATAAGATATCATAGTAAAAGTGGACAAATTCATATTTACAGTTGATTTCCTCATGTTGGACTGCGAAGCCAATGAAAATGCACCTATCATTCTGGGAGGACCCTTTTAGCCACTAGAACAATCCTAATAGATTGTGAGAAGGGAGAGTTCACAATGAGAGTAGGAGAACAAAGCGTCACCATCAATGTATTCAACTCCATGAAATATGTGGATGACTCAAAGGAATTCCAATTCATTAGAAAAGTAGAGGAAAAAGCAATCCTTGGACATGATGGATCTCTAAGGCTAGACGAATACAACGGTTTGTACCATGACCCTACAACCGAGATACAGAAACAAGAAAACTATGGCCCAGGCGAATTATTTTCAGAAGATAATTCTGAGAATTATGGCCCTGACAACATAAATCTAAATAAAGCACACAATAGGTGCCCTGAAAACGACACCAATGCAGTATACAAAGGAAAGACAAAGGAACAATCGAGGCTTCTTAATAATAGATCAGGTATGAAATTTGAACCCTTACATTTTGATGAAGTTAAGTCTTCAGAATCATCTTTACAACATGCATCCAATTTGGAGCTTAAAACTTTGCCATCACATTTGAAGTATGCATACCTAGGAATTAATGAAACTTTACTAGTAATAATCTCTGCCAATCTAACCTCCGAACAGAAGAATAGTTTGTTGAATATTTTGTCACAAGACAAAAAGGCTATAGGATGGACAATGGCAGACTTCAAGGGAATTAGCCCTACCATATGCATGCACAAGATCAATTTAGGAGATTGCCATAGTACTTCGGTGAAACCCCAAAGAAGGCTCAACCTAATCATGAAGAAGGTAGTCATGAAGGAAATTATAAAATAGTTGGATGCGGTAGTGATTTATCCTATATCCGATAGTTCATGGGTCAACCCGATGTAATTTGTGCCAAAAAAGGATGGTGTGACCGTGGTTAAAAGTGAACATGACGAGCTCCTTAATACAAGGACAGTCACAGGTTGGCGCATATGTATGGATTACAGGAAGATTAATAAAGCGCAAAGAAATACATTTTCCCTTACCTTTCATCGAACAAATGCTTGATAGGTTAGCGGGAAAAGCATTTTATTGCTTCCTCGAAGGATACTCAGGATATAATCAAATAGCCATAGCACCGGAGGATCAAGAGAAAACCACTTTCACATACCCATATAGTACCTATACATTTAGACGGATGTCGTTTGGGCTGTGTAACGCTCCAGCTACCTTTCAAAGATGCATGATGGTAATCTTTTCAGATATGGAGGAAGAATGTATGGAAATATTTATGGATGACTTCTATGTCTCAAGTGACGATTTCAATCGATGCCTCGACAATTTATCCAAGGTACTGAAACGATGTAAAGAAGCTAACCAAGTACTAAATTGGGAGAAATGTCATTTTATGGAAATCGAGGGAATAGTGTTGGGTCACAAAATTTCATGTCGAGGCATTGAATTCGATAAAGCTAAGGTGTAAGTAATCGCAAACCTTCCCCACCCACTAATGTGAGACGTGTAAGCAGTTTCCTTGTACTTGCAAGCTTCTACAGGCGGTTAATAAAAGATTTTTCTCAAATCTCTAAATCCTTTTTTCTTTTACTTCAAAAAAATCATCCATTTGAATTTACAAATGATTGTCTGAATGCTTTTACAGATTTGAAGAAAAAACTTTCGGCAGCACCAATCGTTATCCCACCTGACAGGAACTAACCTTTTGAGCTCATGTGCGATGCTAGTAATTATATAGTCGGAGCAGTGCTAGGGAAACGAAAAAGTAAGATCTTTCATGTTATCTACTATGTGAGTCGTACCTTTAAGGATGCACAAGTGAACTATACACCACTCAAAAAGAGCTCTTAGCGGTAGTATTTGGATTCGATAAGTTTAGGCCATATCTAATAGGCACTAAGGTAATTGTGCATACAAATC